TAGTTTCAGCCTGGAACAGCCCCAGTAATTGCAGCCATCTGGAGAATGATCCATCAGATGGAAGATCTCCTTGTCTATCTCTTTCTCAATCAGTTTAGCTTTCAAATAAATAAAATCTTTTCATGTTCAAATTTATGACAATTTTTCAAGCAATGCAGAACAAAAGAGGGACAGTCTGCTGCAGCTACAGAGCCATGTGAAAGCAGCAGAGGACTTGAGGTATTTAAAAATCATTTGGAAAAAGTGCCCTAGTTCCATGGGAATGATTTTAATTTAGTACTTCAAACTCTGGTGGCAAGGAAAATAGAGCAACTTGGTGTGAAGTTGCAGTGAAAAGGGGGCTACACAGAGGGAGTTTTTCAGCCTCTCTCAGTCAACCCTGATTAAGCCCAGGCTGCAGTCAACACCTTTAAGATCACAAACTCACTATTGTCTAAAACAAGCTCACTCCAGTACCTCTAAGACAATAAAATCAACCATCCAACTGAGAAGCAACCATCTAGGCATGTTTACATTATTGTGATTTTACAGATCCTTCAATGTATGTACAGTCCCCAGCTCCACTTCCTTCAAATACTGAAATTTGAGAGTGAATTATTTTCTTTCTCCTATTTTTTTTGTCACTCTCAGATTATGTGTGGCAGTGTCCATACTAGGTTTAGATGGACAGAGACTGAAGTTTGGTATATTTTCTCCAGGGAAGAGGAAAGGTAGAAAAATACTAGTAAATGGAATCAGCATTTATTAAGTACATTCTTAAAGTTATGTCACTGATTTTAAACAGGTTATGTTGTTCATCGTTTATGACAACCCTCTGAAGTACATATTATCATTTTCTGTTTTATAAATTAATAAGCAGATGCTAGGGGGAACTTTGGTAGCATTCTCAAAGTCAGCTATTTTATGTGGAACGAGGAGTTGGAGTTCAGAACTCAGATGGTCTTCCTGTTCTGAAATTATTTTCTCTTATGCCTGGAGCAGCAATCTCTGAGTTCATAAAACTTGATTGCAACCAGGGATGAGTCAGAAATAAGATAAGCCTTCTGATTGAGATAATGACTTGTTACTCATTTCTTCATGTACCTTCTCCCAGTTGCTATGGCAAAGATTTTTCTCTAAAGAGCAAATGGGTCTGCATGTTAGTAGCAAGAAAGAGTATACACACTCAACAGTTAGTGCTTGTTTGCTACATTAATACGGACAGGATAAACAGTTTCAAATATTGCAGTTTGAAATTGTGGCTGCAGAATAAAGCATCATGAATTCAATGCTGATTATGTCTAGATGTTAATTCCTGCTGCTAAATGAGAAAACAAAATAGTGATGAGCACTAAGTTTGCATCAATCCCAACTTTGTGCTTACTTATTTATGAAGGCTACGCTGTTTGTTTTTTTTTTTCCACCAACTCATAAAAGGTTTATAAGGGTACAAGAGGGAACACACTGAAATGTTTTTTAAATATTTAGCAATTGAATGGCAAGTTTTCAAATTATCCTGGAAAATTAAAGTCATCTTTCTTGTTCAATGCAACGAACTGGCATTAGTGTTTTGAAGTTTGTTGCTTAATGGGAGATCAAAACCCATGTTTATGTGTTTAGGATTCTCCTCCCACGTATGGCAATATGGATAAAGTGAATATGCTTCTCTATCTACATAAAGCAAACCTTTGCTGAAATATCTCTTCTTTCAATTTTATTCCCCAAATCTGACTTAGCCATTCTTTCATCTTCTATTCACATTTATTCCAATCATTCAGATGACTGTTACTTCCTTGAAGTTCATTCTTCTCAGAACCTACACAAATGGTTCTCAATTTTGGCTGTAAGAAATGATCATCTGTGTGTTAACTTGGCTGGGCCATAAAATGCTTAAGCACTTGGTTATGTGTTATTTCTAGGTGTGCCTGGATGAGATTAACATTTGAACAGGTGGCTAAATGGGACTAGCCCAGTTTGTTGAAGGCATGAACAGAATAAACCTAAGAAAGCCAATATCCACTGCTGCTTACCTTCCAGTTTGATCAACAATCTTTTTTGCCTTTTCATGCAAACCCAGAGATCTAATTACACCCTCAGTTCTCTTCATTTTTATTCCTTCACACTGCAACTGGAACTCTACCACCAGCTGTTCTGAGCCTCCAGTTTATGTACTACAGGTTTTTGACTTTCTAGCTTCCATAGCCAAGGAAAGCCAATTCCTTACAATCTCTTCCTCCACCTAGATACACACACACACACACACACACACACACACACACACAACATACTCATCTATATAGATACAGATACAGCTATAGATAGATATCTAGACACATGCTATGATTTTTTTTAAATTTTTGGGCCCGGCATGGTAACCTAGTGGCTAAAGTCCTCACCTTGCACACACACCAGAATCCCTTATGGGTGCCAGTTCAGATCTTGGCACTTTCCATCCTGCTCCCTGCTTGTGGCCTGGGAAAGAAGTCAAAGATAGTCCAAAGCCTTGGGACCCTGCACCCACATGGGACTCAGAAGAAGCTCCTAGTTCCTGGCTTCGGATCAGTACAGCTTCAGCCATTGTGGCTGCATGGGGAGATAATTAACAGATCGAAGATCTTTCTGTCTCTCTTCCTCTCTGTATATCTGACTTTCCAATAGAAATAAGATAAATCTTAAAAAACTCTTGTACTTTTCAGTCTAGATAAACCCTAGATCTAATTCCTTATGATCTCACTCTATATCTAAACACAGATATATGTATACAGATATATATTTACCTCTATATGTATTTATGTTTATATAGCTTCTTAAGGTCAATAAAGAAGACATAAATGATAAAATATTCTGTGGGTGTGGATTAGAAAGCTTACTATTGTTAATATAACAATGCTATCTAAAGTGATTTACAGATTAAATGCAGTTTTATCAAAACTCCAATATCCTTCTTCTTTTTTTTATTTTCAGAGGTGTATAAGCCCATCTTCAAATTAGTATATAATTGTGAGGAGCTCCAAAGAGCCACAACAGATGTATAGGAACTCACACTTCCTGATTTCAAAAGTAAAAAGCAACAGTACCTGGATATTGGTATAAACATAGATATACAAAACAACTGAATAGAATTGGGAGTCCAGAGATAAACTATGTATTTATGGCTGATTGTTTTTTTCAATTCTAAAAAAATGGTTATATAAATTTAACAAATTTTACAATCTCAATCCTTTAAGTGGTACGGTTCAATGGTTTTAAGTGCATTTATATTGCTACACAACTGTCACCACCCTTCATCTCCAGAATTCTTGAAAAACCTAAACTCTATCCTCCTTACACTAAAGCTTCACATTATCTCCTTTCCCTGGTCCTCAGCAATGACCATTCTGCTTGCGGTCTCTCTGAGCTCATGTAATTGGCATCACGGAATAGTCATCTATTTGTAGTTATCTGGTTTCATTAGCAAATGCCTTTAGGGAATCACCCATTTGTTGAAAATGTCGGAATTATCTTCTTCTCAGATTCGGTTTTTTATTTCTAAAAACTACTTTACAGGGATACACGTCATACAAAGAGACATTCATATTTATTATTCATTGGAGATAAGTATATTCATCACCTCCAAAGGTTGCCTCCTGTCTTAGTCTACATGTTTAAAAAAGTGATTAATGCAAATATTCCCCCTTAGAAATTTTGAAGTATATAGTCCTCTATTGTTAACTGTAGGCAAGTAGCAGATCAACTAGCTGAAATTACCCCAGTTAAGCACACACCATCATAAATTCACTCCATTTCAGCACTTTCTATACATACCAAGGTATCTTGGGGAGGACTCAAGTCTAAACAGAAAATTATTAATATTTACATATATATATCTCTTTTACACATAGCCAGAAGGTAATTTCATATAATAGTCTTGAGTAATTTAGGGCATGGAACAAAATTTGGGCATTTCAGCTAAAGTGGCTGGGATGGTCTTTTGTTCTTTGTGTATATTGAGTAACTGTGTTTTGACAGCAATCTGTCACACAAGATCTGTTGTGGGATTTTTGATTCGTGGCATCCTGTTAGTGCTCACAAAGCTTTGGATTCTGGAACATTTTATACTGAAATTTTGAAGATTAAGACTGCTTAACCTAGGGCTGGTGTTTTCCATGGTGCATAAAGTTGCTCTCTGTAGAGCTGCACCCCATGTAGGTACCCAGATCCTAGCTGCTTCACTTCCAATCCAACTACCTGTTAATGGTCTGGGAAAAGCAGTGAGAGATGGCCCAAGTGATTGGGCTGCTGCTACCTGTGTGGGATACCTGGAGCAAGCTCCTGGTTTCTGGCTTTGGCCCAGTGCTTGCTGCTACAGCCACCTGGGACGTGAACTACCCCATGGAAGATCCCTCTCTGCACCTCTGACTTTCAAGTAAATAAATCTTTTAAAAGATGTTCAATCTATGTAAGGACATTCATAGGATACTTGAGCTGTGTCTGGCTTACCTCACTTAGCATGATGACTTCGTGTTCCACCTCTGCTGTCACAAATAGCAGGATCTCATTTAAACTATGAGTAATATTTCAGCGTGCTTTTATGCACATTCTTGTGCCCTGACTGTTATCATCTTTCTTTGTATATTTTAAAATGTCACTTTTCATCTTTAAATTTAACATTTTTAAAAGATTTATTTATTTTTTCCACCAGGGCAAGGAGCGCTTTATTCTCAGTCACGCAGGACAAGGCCCACAGCCTCAGTAGCGCCAGCAGTGGGTATATGTGTGTGGGTGTCCCACCAGCCCCCGCTCTTTGTGTTGGGGGTGGCAGCAGCAGGCCAGGTGTATATGTGTGTTAGGCAGAATGACAGCCAGCAGATGGCCATGGTGCGTGGCAGAGGAGTGTTAACCCTGCTGGCTGACTCCCTTTCCTGCAGGGAAGGCTGGGTTGGGGAAAAGGGGGTGGGTTGGACATCTCGAAGCGGGGCCCTGGAATGGTCCGTCAGCTGTGAAGAGGCGGCTGCAGATGTCATCCAGGAGCCAGTCGATGCTCAATGGCAGGTTCTCCCCGTGACGGCACTGCAACCCTGGATGCACCAGTGGTGGCTAAGGATCGAGTCCAGCTCTGGGGCCTCCCGAATGGTGTTAGAGGACAGTGCTCCGGGAGGGTCCTGCTTGTTGGCAAAGATGAGGAGTGTTGCTCCGGCCAGGCACTCCTCCACCAGCCGGCTCTGTAACTCCTGCTGGCAATCCTGCATGCGCTGGCGGTCGGCACTGTCCATCACCCATATGAGGCCGTCCGTGCTCTCAAAGTGGTTCTGCCAGTAGGACCGCAGTGACTTCTGGCCGCCCACATCCCAGATATTCAGCTTGAACCAGCGGTGCTCCAGGGTCCTGATGTTAAAGCCCAGTGTAGGGGAAATGGTGTCCATGTCCTCGCCATTGAACTTCTTGAGGATGGTTGTTTGGCTGGTATTGTCCAAGCCGGGCATGAGCAGCCGCAGCTCCCGCTCTTTCTGCTTCATCTTCTTCAGAATGATCAGAAGCCCCATCATCCCCGAGCCCCCCAAGATTTATTTGTATTGGAAAGGCAGATTTACAGAAAGGAGAGACCAAGAGAAAGATCTCCCATCTGTTGATTCACTCCTCAAATGGACAGAAAGGCTGGAGCTGAGCCTATCCGAAGCCAGGAACCAGGAGCTTCTTCTGGGTCTCTCACATGGATGGAGGATCCCAAGGCTTTGGGCCATTCTCTAGTCTCCCAGGCCATAAGCAAGGAGCTAGATGAGAAGTGAAACAGCCAGGACACAAACCAGAGCCTATATGGGATCCTGGTGCTTGAAAACGGAGGATAAGTCAGTTGTCCTCAGTATGTTTTAAGGTAGGTCAGATTAGTTACAATATTCAATAGATGTAGTACATGCTTTTGCAATTTACAATATTCTTAATGTATCAAGGATTTATCAAGATATTAATTCATTGTCAACTGAGGCATTTGTTACTTACGTGTACCACAGTCGAAGGAATCTTCAAAACAATGTTAAATTGAGAAAACCAGACACAAAAAGTCACTTATTTCATTATTCTACATATATGAAATATTTAGGGGAAATAAATCTGTACAGACAGCCCATCCTAGTGCTCTCAAGGACTTAGGGGATGGGCAGCATGGGGGAGTGGCAGAGACCTGCTTAACTGACAAGGCTGTTTTACCTTGGAATGATAGGCCTGATTTAGAGCTAGCCAGAGGTGATGTTTCACATCATTGTGGATATACTAAATGCTGCTGAATTATCTACACAGTTGATTTTATGTTAGGCAACATTGTCTCAACATCTTTTCTTAAGTATATCTCACATTGTACAACTAGGCTTAGAAAAAAAGAGGTGGGAGGCAGAAGGAAAAGCAGCCTGAATTCCATGGAATTCATGACAAAGTATCAGTCTGGAGGGACACTACTACACTCACTGAGACTAGGCCACACTTGACAACTTGCCAATTTAGGTGCCATTGTCAAAAACATCCATCCTTCATTGTCTCTGCATCTTTGGTTCCTCATTGCAAGGGTCTTGCAGGAGCACATTTTATTAATCTGGTATAATTTATGTGCATTCCCGCAAGACCCTTTGGCAGACAAGTATTCAGATTTTTCTGCTCATATAATGACAGGCTTTGCCTGATTCACAGGGCAAGAAATTCCTCATTAATGAGTTTAGCTGTTGAGTAGCCAATTTCTCTAAATAGTGTTTATTGTATATTCAACTGGTTTTGACGTTAGAGCTAGTACAATAATGCAAAAGTGAAAGAGAAAAATTCTCTATTGGTGATAAGCTTAGAAAATCCAATGAAAAACTCCAAGAACCACTGAGAAAAGTTGCTAAAATAGCTGAATACAAGTTGACTAAAGAAACACCTATATCTTTGTAACTCATTAGAAACAAAAATTGAAAAATTTTACAGATACAACAAAATAAAATGGCAGTAAATATGTAAGAAAACATACAGCAAAATTATAGAATTTACCTAACAAAGAATTCTAAACTCTTATTGAAGGACATAAAAATATAGAAAAATTTGCTATACCTACCACATATAAGAAAAAATTATAAAAATTCAACAAATGGTACTGGGAAAATTGAATAAACAAGACCCCTACCTCCCATACAAAAGTCAACACCGAATGCACCTAGGATCTAAACCTACAATCTGACACTGTCAATTTACTAGAGGAAAACATAGGAACACTCTGCAAGACAGGTCTAAACAAGAGATCTTAGAGAAGACCCCAAAAGCACAGGCAATTAGCAAAAACAAATGGGATCACGTAAAGAAGTTTCTGTACTGCAAGGGAGATGTTCAATAAAGTGAAAACACATGCAATCAAGTGGGAGAAAATACATCCTACACAGCAGATAAAGGACTAAAAAGAACTCCAACAGCTCAACAGCAAAGCAACCCAGGTAAGACATGGGCAACGGATAAGTATTTTTCAGAAGATGAAATTTCAAAGGCTAGCAAACACATGAAAACGTGTTCAGGTTCTCTAGCTAACAGGGAAATGCAAATTAAAACCACGATGAGGTTCCACATAGCCCCAGCGAGAATGGCCTACATTCAGAAACCAATGTACAGTAACTGCTGAGAGAATGCAAGGGAAAGGTTCCCTAATTCACTGTTGCTGAGAATGTAAACCAGTGTACCACAAAGAACATCAGTATGGCGGTTCCTTAGACAGCTGAAAACATACCTATCATAAGCCCCAGCCAGTCCATTCCTGGGAATATTCCCAAACAAAATGAAATCTGCATATGAGAGAGTTAGCTTCAACCCATGTTTATAGCAGCATAATTCGCAATAGCTAAGACATGGAACCAATCCAGATGACCATTAACAGATGACTGGATAAAGAAACTGTGGTACAGGTCAATTTACTCCATGCACTACTTCATGAAACATTATATCTATATCTATCTATCTAGATAGATATATCTTACTATTTGTAACAAAATAGACTTGGTTAGAAATCATTACATTTAGTGAAATAAATCAGTCGCCAAAAGATAAGTATCATATGTCCTCTCTGACGCATGACAAATACACAGAGCATAAAAACTCTAAACTCTACAAGGGATATTTAGCATACTGGGAAATAATGGATGCATACAACATGCAAGTAGTAATAGGATTTCCAGTCACTTTTAATCATACTTTTATATTATGTTATTTTCTCCCTTTTCTTACACTGGCCATGTCATGTTACATTTATATATCAGAAAGTTAAGCCTATAATGGCAAAATGAATGACTATGCTATTGTAGTAACTTGGAAACAAATAATTAGAGGGGGACATGGGGAGGGAGAATGGAGAAATCCCTTTGCTTCTAAATCTGTATTGTGAAAAATAAGAAATCTATTCATGTCCTATAAATTAAAAAAAAATGTAAGACTCTCAAAAGTAACAAACATAACTTTAATCAGAAGTTATTTATGAACCTAGATAAAATTGTCAATATGGAAGTATTCACAAGGAAAAGTCCATATGAAAGAAGAAAATTTTCCAAGAACATCTAAAATATCATGAAAAGTATGAAATTAGGCAAAGTATTGTATGAAAAACAATTAAGGCATTAAATTCTATTATTTAGCTGCTACAATCAAGACTGTTTAGTGTAGTCATTCACATAAATAATGAGACCAGCAGAATAGAAAGCATTATAAAAGTGACATTTCAGTTTATTTACTAAGTGTATTTCAGAACTGACTAAAGAAAAACTATCTAGTGTAGGTTAAAACAAAAGTGTATGATCATCTACCAAGCTGTGTATATACACACCAGCATACAACCCGCTTCTGTAAGTCTGGGAGTACACAGACCACATTTAATACTGTTCAACTCTAGCAACTCAAAGTAGAGAGAAAGGGACGTCTGGTTTTTATTTGAAATTCTTCTGTATTACTAGTTTTTGTTTTAATCTGTTCACAAAGAAAGCAAAACACAGTTTTACACAAGTGATAGCAAAAAACAAAACAAAAAAACACCTCAATTTAATCTCACTGTTCTGTTGAAATGTGTTACAATGATCCTTATTTATTTAATCTCACTGTTCTGTTGAAATGTGTTACAATGATCCTTATTTGTATAATATCCACATTTTGAATGAGATTTCCTTACTAAAAACTTTAGAAATTAAAGTTAAAGCCAAGTAACCTTTCAGTTAAAGCCAAGTAACCTTTCCATTAGACCAGTATATGGTTTTACTCCAAATACTGTGCATTACATGCTTACATTTTAGTGATAAGTCATTTGAACTTATTTAAAATGTTAGTTGGTTTTAGGTTCTTTGACATAATAAGTATATTGCACTTTTAGTCAGTTCGTTTTCTCTATTAGTGACATCTTAATTTATAGAAGTCTATGTTAAATCATCAAATGATCTTCAATTTAAACCTTGGCTTCTATTGCCTGTAAAAGATGGATCTGGGTCCCCTAAATGCTGAGTTAATCTCTCTTACTTTTCTCATGCCTAAAGGATTACAGTAGCTGTTTCTCCACATAAGATCATGATAGCTACTGCAAATCAAATTCTTACTATAATTTTTCATATATAGTAAATGGATTGTTAACAGAAAAATTATTTTCGAAATATATCAAAAGTTCTTTGCTATAGAATCCCTCAAAACAAATGCAAGAATGTTTGTTGAACGGCAAGGTAAACTGGAAATTAGGTTTAAAAATAGTAATATATAGTGTAAGATAAAAATAATAGACTAGGCTACAAAACTGCATTATGTGAAGAATTTTTTAAATTGTTTTTAGCCTGAAGGATTAGATTCCATAAAGAAAATACTGATGACCAATACTCTACCCCAAGATAGCTATTTTTAGCAGTGCTACAGAAAACCATAGAATAATCTGACTGAGTCACATTAATGTTTGCAGAATTCTATTGCTGAGTTTGAAATACTTAGTTTAAAAAAAAATTGTGTTTCTAGTTTTTATTGACCTAAACTGGCCACAGTTGAATTGCTAATGAATCCTAGATTTATCTGGTAAAGAATGGAAAGACATTTTATCATGAAACATGTATTGCTTGGGAGTCTCTTCAGAATCACCCTACCTGCTACAATAGAGTTAACATATTTACTAGCATAATATAGTGCATGGCTTTGTTAAAACTTATTCATTATTCTAAGCACTATTCAGGAAAGCCAGGTTTCTAAAGGAGAACCCCTGAATTGCATTGTAAGGCAGCTTCAAATTGCTCAGGTATAATTTCTTTTCTAACAAAATAGTGTCTTATAAGTGTACTGGTATGATATGAATTTATTTGTGAAATAAGTTCACAGTAACATTTGTGAAAAACACATTTATTTGTGAAGTACTTGAACGTATTTGTTGACTTTTGATGTTTGGTTCAAAGTATTGATTTATAGTAGAAGGACACAAGAACCATTTAATAAATTATTTGATAATCACTATTATACATTATAAATTCTTTCCAGTAAAGCTCTGCGATGGTTTTCTTAAAATAAAGCTTGCTATGTGTTGGAACTCT